TTTTTTTTTTTTTGCGTCCCTGGGTGGGCACGAACCCTGTTTGTTCTTTTAATAGTTCATGATATGTTCAATATTCATCTCCAGTGCCACAACTCAAAAGCACCAATTCTTCTTCTACCATTCTTATTTATTGTCCAGTTCTCAGATGCATAGCAAGCAATTGAAAAGACAATGGCCTCTATCAGGTACATCTGAGTCTCTAGACTGACATAGTTGTTCTTTAGCACTCTGGAGAAGTCCTTGACAGCATATTTTCCCAATGCAATTCATTTTCTGATTTCCTGACTGCTGGTGGCACGAGTGTTGATTGTGGAACCAAACAAAATGAAACAGTTAACAACTTCAGTGTTTTTTCCATATATCATTATGCTACCTGTTGATAAGGATTTTTTGGGTGTTTTTTTTTTATGTTGAGCTTCAATGCACACTGAAAGCTGCATTCCTTGATATTTTGCAGCAAATGCTTCAGGTCGTCCTCAGTTTCAGTGAGCAACGTTGTGTCATCTGCATTATGCAGGTTGTTGATGAGTCATCCTCCAATCCTGATGCCACTTTCTTCTTCGTAGAGTCTAGCTTCTCATATAATCTGTTCAGCCTATAGGTAGAAAAGGAATGGAGAAAACATACATCTTTTTTCTTTAATTGTGATTTTAATGAAAGTTTACAGAGAAGTTGGATTTTCATTCATTCATTGTTGCTTATTTTTCTCCCTACCTCCTGCCTTTTGCATAATCAATAAAACACAAACAAACATTCTTCTGGTATTTCTTACTTTCAGCTAGGATCCATCTGACATCAGCAATTATATTCCTGGTGCCACAGCCTCTTCTAAATCCTGATTGTACTTCTGGTGGTTCCCTATCTATGTATTGCTTAGCCATTTTTAATGCTCTTCAGAAATATTTTGCTTGCATGTGATATTAATGATATTGTTTGATACTTTCTACATTCAGTTGAATCACTTCTCTTGGGAATGGGAACAGATATGGACCTCTTCAATCCACTGGCCAGACAGCTAGCTGTCCTCCAAATTTCCTGACCTCGACTGGTGAGTGCATCCAAGGCTGCATCTGCTAATTGAAACAAGTCAATTGGTATCCCCTCGATTCCTGGGGCCTTATTTTTTGCCAATGACTTCATTGTACCCTCTACTTCCTCCCTCATTACCATTGGCTCCTGTTCATATGGTACTTCCTGAAATTTTTCAGTGTCAATCAATCCTTTCTGGTACAGTGATTCTGTGTATTCCCTTCATCTCATCAATAACCTGTGTTATTCAGATGATACAACCTTACTTGCTGAAAAATGAGGAGCACTTGAAGCACTTGTAGCAGAAGATCAGGGAATGCAGCCTTTTGTATGGATTGCATCGCAAGGTCAAGAAAACAGAGATTCTTGCCACTGGACCAATAGGCAACGTCATGATGGATGGAGAGGAAACTGAAACTCAACAGCTTCATCTTGCTTGGATCCTCAATTAACACCCTTAGTACCAGCAGTCAGAAAGTAAGGACACACATTGCACTGGGAAAATCTGCAATTAGGGACCTCTCCAAATGAATGAAGAATAATGATGTCAGTTTGAGGACTAAGGTATGTCTGATTCAGGCCATAGTCTTTCTGATTACTTGCTATGCATCCGAAAGCTAGACAATGAATAAGGATGACAGAAAAAGAATTGACACCTTTGAGCTATGGTGTGGAGAAGAACACTGAACATCCCATGGATGGCCAAGAGATCAAAGAGGTATGTCTTTGGAGAGGGTGCAGCTAGAGTGCTCTTTGGAGGCAACAATGATGAGGCTTCGCCTCACATACTTTGGGCATGTTGCTAGGAGGTGCTATTCCTTGGAAAAGGAACTGATCATGGGAAGGGTGGAGAGTCAGTGAAAACCTTCAACCATGTGAATTGACACGGTGGGTGACTGATGCAATGTGCTCTTGTGTGTCAGGAAGTGTTAGGATGGTACAGGATAGAACAGGGTTCAGACCTTATATTTATAGGGTTGCTATGAGGTCACTATGTTGATGGAAACAACAGTAACAACAACCCCCTACCGCAGTTCAAATTTTTAAAAAAAAATTATTAATTCTTTCATAAGGATCTATCTCTGATGCACTTCTTTCTTGATTTTGAACCATGCACTATTCCCATGCTCTGTATAAACAACAGCTTACTGGTCTAGTATAAGTTTTGTATGTGCAAAATTAAGTGTTCTCGGATTCCCATTCTTCTCAATGTTAGCTGCAATTTGTTGTGATCCACATAGTCAAATGCTTTTGCATAGATGATGAAACACAAATGGACATCTTTCTGGTACTCTCTGCTTTCAGCCAAGATCCATCTAGCATCAGCAACATTATCTCTAGTGCCATTCTTCTTCCAAACCCAGCTTGTCTTTCTGAAAGTTTTCTGGACAGTATAAGCAATATAAGCAATATTAGCAATAGAGCACACTTAGATTATTACATATAGCATTGGAAGCTGAGTCCTCATATTGGAAGACACAAAAAGTGAGGAGGAATAAGCTGTAAACATCCTCTTGTAATTAGAACATGGAATGTAGGAAGTATAGATGTAGGAAAATTAAACATTGTTCAAAAATAAATGGAACTCGTAAATATTGACATACTTTGTATTATTGAGCTGAGATAGATTGACATTTGACACTTTGAATCAGATAAGCATATGATCTACTTTACTGGGATTGAAAAAGTGAAGAAACATAGAATTGCATCCCTGGATGGGTTCACCAAGAAATCTGGAGGACATCTACCTGGTTAACATTTGGAAGAGATCCATTATTTCATTCCCATTCCCCAAAATGGTAATCCAACAGAATGTAGAAATTATTGAACAATATAATATGGAAGTAAAATCTTGCTGAAGATTATTTAAAAATTACTAGAACTATCGACAGAACCTCATTGATAAATGTTGTTGTTGTTTGCCTTTGAGTCGAGCACGACTCTTAGCAACCCTATGAACAAAATTCTTGAAGCCCCTCTACAACTGTTGACATTTATGTAAGTTCATAGGGATTCTGGAGGCATGTTATTTAGGAAGTGGGTGACTGATGCAATGGGCTCTTATGTGTCAGGAAGTGTGAGGATGGCATAGGATGGAACAGGGTTCAGATCTTTTATTTATAGGGTCGCTATGAGGTCGCTATGTTGATGCCACTCCTGCTTCCAAACCTGTCATAGTATGCTATGACATATATGCCATTGAGTTGCTTGCGATAAATAGTGGTTGAATAATAGTTATCTTTAAAATGATATCCTAAGATTGTCCAAGCGTTACTGATAATGCAATAAAGCTTAGTAACTTAAATGATAATGTAATAAAGCGGCAATTGACTTGGAGCTGAACCCCTGGCAGGTTTACAGAGGCTGGCAATTGTGTTGGGGAGATTGCTCATTTTTTCTCCCACGGAGTTGCTGGTGGATTCAAACTGCCCGTCTTTGTTTTGGCAGCTTATCTCTTTATCCACAAGGCCACCATATCTCCCTAGTGTAATAAAGTAACTGGCATATAGTTGGTGCTCAGTCAGGCTGGAGACTAAGGTGCGCCTGTTCCAGGCCAGAGTCTTTGCAATTGTGTGCTATGCGTCAGAGAGCTGGACAACGACTAGGGATGATAGAAAGAGAATTGATGCCTTTGAACTGTGGTGCTGGAGAAGACTTTGAATATACCATGGACTGCTAGGAGAATGAACAGTTCTGTTCTGGAGAGGATGAACCTGGGCTACTCCTTGGAGGTAAGGATTCTGAAGCTTTGACTGACACACTTTGGGCATATTGCAAGGAGGGACCAGTCCTTGAAGAGGGACATCATGTTTAGGAGGGTGGAGGGCCAACACAAGAGAGAAAGACCTTCGATGAGATGGATCGATTCAGTGATTGGGGTAATGGGAGTAGGTGTGTCAGAGACAGTGAGACTGGCACAGGATAGATAGGGGAGGGCTTAGGGCTCTTGTACATAATGTTGCTATGACATTAAGTGACTCGATGGCACATCACAACAACAAAAATCACTTAATCCTCAAAGATGGAATATGGGTCAGGTATGGTTATCACTACTTTACAAGTGAGAAACCTAAATCTCAGTGAAATTAAGTTATTTATCTGACATTTCTAAACTGGGACATAAATGAGAAGATATCAGCCCAAACCACGAATTTCATTATTTTTATAGCCTAAATCCTACTTCAGAGTATTTCTCCTTTCCTTGTCTCCGTGCAAATCTTTTTAAAAATGACATATCTACTTCATGCTTTCTTGTTCTTAAAATTTAAGCAGAGGACTATTATGTGCCGTTGAGTAGCCTGAGACTCACAGCGAGCGACCCTATATACAACAGCCCTAAACCCTGTTCTCTCCCTTGTCAATTTTACTGTCTCCGACACACCTATCTCCATTACCCCTGTGTATGACTAAATCAATCCATCTCATCGAGGGTCTTCCTCTCCTGTGCTGTCCCTCCACCCTCCCAAGCAAGACGTCCCTCTCCAAGGACTGATCCCGCCTTGCAACATGTCCAGAGTACGTCAGACGAAGCTTCAGAATCCTTAGCAGGAGATTAATGTCTAGAGAATTAATGTCTAGGGAACTGAGATTTAAACTTAGACTTGACCTCCCTGGAGATTGAGTTTAAAGAAGAAGCATTCCAGGTAGGATAAGCAGGAACAAAGGAGCCCAAGTGGAGCACTTTCGGGAAACTGTCAAAAGACTCTACGAGGTGGAAGGTTCAGTATGACTCCTCCAGTGCCTTAGAGTGGCGAGTAGACATGCAGCGAACACATAGAATTCAGAATCACACAGATGGACGTTTCACCCAAGACACGCTGGACACGCGCCGCGTTCTCCCCAAGAACGCCCAGTCCCGCCTCTAGGGCGGGAGCCCTGCCTTAGTTAGCCTATCAACACTTCAGAAATCTACGAAGTCTCTTCTTCACTGGCGAACGTTCGGGTTACGTCAGACTCGCTGTGTGAAGGAAGAAGGCGCCATGATTGGTTGGTGGTGGGGCAGTGGGGGGGCCTATGGAGTCTGGTTTTCAAGCTGGTGCTGGACTTTCATCTTCCATGTTTCGAGTTAGAGGGGCGCTGCAGATGGCGGGGACTCAAGTCTAAGGAAACCTACATTTGGTTCTAAGGGTCGTGAGGTTTAGAAGGGGTGACCGGAAGTAATACTGGAACTGACCGGAAGCAAGGCCTGGAGGGGAACTGGAGAGCAGGTCCCAGGAGGAAGGGGGCTTCAGCAAAAAGGGGCGGGGGAAAAGGTGCAGGAGCTGTGTGGGATCTTCACACTGTGGATGCCAGTCGCTGCTGTTTGTTTGTCTGGAAACCGGCGAGCAACCACTAAGAGCTCGTGGGGGAGGAGTGGGGAGTCCGGAGTCGAGGGCTCCCTCTAGACAGTCTGGAATAGTTGAGCAAAGGGCGCCTCGTGCTTTACAGAGCTGGGCAGCAAGGCTTTCCTAAGCTGGGTGGCTAAAAGCGAGGAGCCCAGGATACGGGAGTTCAGTTGTGCGAGCAGTGCCTGTCTGGCTTGGCTGGTGGGCACTGCGTGCGAGACGTGGGCTTAGAGTTGTCCACGGTCTTGCCGCTGTTGGGTGGAATCACACTCCGCGTCTTTGTACAAGCAACCGCGTCTTCTGGGGCAAGGAAGGAGCCAGGATGGCCTGGGCTCTGAAGCTGCCTCTGGCGGATGAAGTGATTGAATCTGGGCTGGTGCAGGACTTTGATGCTAGTCTGTCTGGGATCGGCCAGGAACTGGGTGCTGGTGCCTATAGCATGAGGTGAGTGTTTCCTCCTACCCCCAGGTCCTATACCTTCCGAATAACAAAGACAGTATAGAATATAAGCGGACGGAGGGGAGAATAAAAAGGAAATGTATAGAGATAATGAAGCTGCCTTTGGTTGGAGTAGGAGTTTCTTTTGTTGCTTTGTATAAAGAGTGTTGTGGAAAGCTTTGTATAAAGAGTGTTGTGGAAAAAATGGAACAAGAGATTGCAGGACTGTCAGGACTTCTGGATTAGTGGAAGAAGTAAAAGCGACTTAATTAAAATCCAGAATATTGAGAGTTGGGTGGAAGGCTTAGAGTCTAATGTTTATATATAGGTGTGGTTAGGTGCTGTTGGACTTTTATGAAAATGGAGCCATATTGATAGGACGCAATGCCTAGAAAGTTGGGGCTCCATAATAAATATTGGTTGACTATTTGTTGGAAGGAAATGTGAGACCTTAGTGAAGATGTCCACACAGTTGTACTTGAAAGCTTTAACCTAACTTTAGGGTTTCTGAAAGGAGCTCTGGTGGTTTAGTGGTTAAGTGCACCGCTGCCCACTGAAAAGTCAGCAGTTCGAACTCACCAGCAGTTTTCCTGGAAAAAAAAGACCTGGTGATCTGCTCTGGTGAAGATTATCGAGTAGGACTCCATATGGAGCAGTCACATTGAGTTGTCGTCTGTTGGAATTGACTTGATACACAGCAGAGCATCTCAATTTTGAAACATAAGCTGCACAATGGAAAGATATAAAAAATAACGTTCACATATTTCTAGCATGTTGTTTTTCATATGTTGTTGATAAATAAAAATCTCCTTTGAAAGTAGTATTACTTCCTAGAACTTATATATGATAATCATCCGGAAATGTTGGAAGCGTCTATGCTTTAAGGTTAGAAGGAAAGTAATGTAAATTAAGTCAGAAGTAGACTTGAGTACTTTACATTTTCATTGAATTTATGAATTTACAGAGTTCCCTCTTATAGAAAAAGTGAACACATTTTGCATTCCTGTAGAGCTTTTGATAGTTATACTGATGTAAAATTATGAGTTTGAGTTTTATTTCTTCAAATTCTCAAGACTCATTGCTGTTAGAATAACAAAAGCTATCCTCCCAAAACTATCTTACGAATTTTTTTTCAAAGAAATTTGAATCCTACCTTCCTGTATTCACGATCTTGAGAAATTTAGTTCTACCTTTCCTTGATGACATAAAAGCCGTGGACCATAAAAACAAAGATTAACTTGATCTTAATGTCAGTGCCCTGACCTTGATGTAGTTTTTGACAGTTCATGTTCTTGTTCATTCAGTAGAGTGTTTGATTTTATGTAGGTTATCAGAATTTGGGGTGGAAATACTTCATTATAACTGTAATTATAAGGAGCCCTGGTGGCATACTAGGTTGTGTTTGGACTGCTAACAGAAAAGTTAGAACCCAGGAAAGGAGAACTATGAGGCAGGCCATCTCCTCCCATTAAGATTTACAGCATGGACTTGGAACCCAATGAAAGATCATTATGAGTTGAAATCAACTCCTTGCAGTGGATTTTGGTGTGTTTGTTTGTTTTTTGGTTTTTTTTTCAGGGAGTAGGGAGGTTTGGGAAGATTATTTGTAATCTTGAACCTTGATGGTTCAGGGTTTAAAGTACTTACTGCTAACCAGAAAGTTGTCACTTTTAATCCACTCACCACTCGCTGTGTTTTTTTGTTGTTTAGTACAGATTTTACCTACAACCTGAAAGTAGAGCATTCCTGTGAAATACGTAGTAAGCTAGCATAAAACAAAGAAACAATAACCATTAATTTATATGGGGAAAACTGTTTAGCATTCTCAGATTCAAGAATTATTTAGTAAATCCACATAAAACCCAAGATAACACTGACATACACATTTCAAAGCTGTGGCTGAGTGTTCAAGCGAAGGAACTTGCCTTCTTGCCGGGTTGTATGCTATTTCTTAAACAACTCACTGAATGCCAGTTATTATTTGGCTTTTATCTTTTTTTTAATTTAAATGTGAAAATCCTATTTAGGTTTAGTTATCAAAAACAGGTACTGCTATAGTTCTTTTGTAAAAGTGACGGTGTTGTGTACCATTGAGTTGGAACTGACCAGTTGTTGGCCCCTGCAGCAGATTTTCAGAGGCAGTAAATAGCACAGGAGATTGTTCATTTTACTCCTATTGAGAAGCTACTGAATTTAAAGTGCATACCTTTGCATCGACAGCCCAGTTCCTTACCACTTAAGCCACCAGAACTCCTGGAAAGCAAAGTAGTGTAAAACAGACTTTTGAAAGGGGAATATATCTGTATCTATTACAGACTATAATTAATATTATTAATAAACATTTGTTCATCTATCATTATTAGGTGCTGTTGAGTCAAATACAACTCATAGTGACCCTATGAATAACAGATCTGAACCCTGTCCTGTCCTGTGCCAGCCTCACAATCGCTGACATACTTACTGAGTCTATACTTGCTGCAGTCATTATGTCAATCCATCTCTTGAAGGTCTTCCCCTCTTTTCACTGACCCTTCACCCTCCCAAGACTGATGTTCCTCTAGAAGGAATAACCTCTTCTAGCAACATGCCCAAAGTATGTGAGATGAATCTTTACCTTCAAGGAGCACTCTGGCTGCACTTGATCGAAGATTTATCTGTTCTCTGGCAGTTTATGGGATATTCAACTTAACTACAGTGATTCTTACTCTGTTAGCCATATTAATTGTCCAGTTATAAGATGCATAGGAAGTGATTGAAAAGATAATGACCTGAATCTGGAGCACCTTTAGTCTTCAAACTGATATCATTGCTTCTCAGTAATTTGAGGAGATCCCTGATTGCAGACTTTTCCTAGTCATATGTCTGCTGATCTTCTGACTACTGGTGTTTATTGTGGGTCTAAATAAGATGAAGTTGTTGACAGTTTCAATCCTTTCTCCATCTTTCATGATGTTGTTTTCTGGTCTGGGGCTAGAAGAGGCTGTGGTTCCTGTGAGGTAATTAGTTCTGTGAACTAGTTTCTTCTTTAAGACTCTGATTTCCTTAATTTTCTTTTGCTCTATATAAGTAGAGACCATACAAGTGGTTGTATCTTAGCTCCCTGATAACAATTTGCAAAACTGTTGTTGTTATATGCCTTCTAGGTGGAACCTACCCATAGCTAACCCACTAGTGGGTTTTCAGAGGCAGTAATTTGAGTGGAAAGGGATTGCCCATCCTTTTTCCACAGAGCAGCTAGTGGATTCAAACTGCGTGTGTTTAGGATTGCATTAAAGCTTCTTACAACTAGGATGTAGAATATTATCTTTATGAACTGTGTTATGCCACTTGCTTATCTTGGTCTCCAAGACTATGGCCCTACGTTTTTTTAACCCAGTACAGCAGTCTTCATACAAATATTTATGTATACATATTGAGAAGTATAGCATCAGGATTGGAGGTAGACTCATCAACAATCAGCGTTATGCAGATGACACAACCCTGCTTGCTGAAACTGAGGAGGACCTGAAGCACTTGATGCAGAAGGTCAAGGATTGCAGCCTTCAATATGGATTGAAGCTCAACATCAAGAAAACAATGATTCTCACCACTGGGCTGATTGGCAGCATCATGATAGATAGTGAAGAGATTGAGATTGTTGATAGCTTCAGTTTGCTTGGCTCTACAATCAACACTCTTGGTACCAGCAGCCAGGAAATTAAAAGACTAATTGCATTTAGAAAGTCTACTGTCAGAAAAAAAAAGAAAGTCTACTGTCAGATGCCTCTCCAAAGTACTGAAGAGCAACAGAGTCAGTCTTGAGACTAAGGTGTACCTGATACAGGCCATGGTCTTTGCAATTACTTACTATACATCAGAGAGCTGAACAGTGACTAGAGATGATAGAAGAAGAGTTGATGCCTTTGAGCAGTGGTGCTGGAGAAGAATATTGAATATACCATGGACTGCTAGGAGAACAAACAAATTCATCCCGGAGAGGGGGAAGCCAGGCTGCTCTTTGGAGGCAAGGATTCTGAAGCTTCATCTGACATACTTTGGACATGTTGCAAGGCGGGATCAGTCCTTGGAGAGGGACGTCATGCTTGGGAGAGTGGAGAGACAGCGCAGGAGAGGAAGACCCTCGATGAGATGGATTGATTCAGTCACTGGGGTAATAGGAATTGGCGTGTCAGAGTCTATAAGATTGGCAAGGGATAGAGCAGGGTTTCGGGCTGTTGTACATAGGGTCACTGTGAGTCGCAGGCAACTCGATGACACTTAAAAACAACAACCTGCAGCTATATGTGCATGTATATTTACTTGTATATACTTTGCTATATGCATATAAGGGAACTCTGGTGGCTTAGTGGTAAGGTACTGCATTCCCAATTTAAGGCTTGTGCTTTGAATCCACCAGCTGCTCCATGGAAGAAAGAAGGGCAGTCTCCTTCCATGCAGTTTACTACCTTTGAAAATCTCTGGAGGGTCAGCCATACATAAGTTGATTTCAACTTGATGGCATGTAGCAACAACATAGGAATACATGTGTTTTAATCTACGTATGTGTCTCAAATACTGGATTTTTTAATACACTGACCTACAATATTTCATATTCCATACCCCTTTTCAGATTTTAAAGTTTATTTAGTGTTTAGGTTCTCGGTATTTATATATCAACAGATTGTAGTAACTATTTTTAATATCTTGCAGGTAAAAAAAAATTGAGAGTATGTGCATCTTTGTTTTTCTTTGCAGAGCACATGTGTTTAAATCATTGTTATGTAGTTAGAGTTCTTTTTTTTTTTAAATTTTTTTTTTATTATTTTTGTGTGAGTGTACTGTCAAATCAGATCTGACTGGTACAGGAGGAGATTGTCCCTCCTTCCCCAGCAGAGCATTTGGTGGATTGGAACCGTGAGCCTCTGGGATTGTAGTTGCAGCTCCTTGCCACTAGGCCTCCAGAGCTCCCCTAGAGTTCATTATTTAAGAATATAAATTTAATTCTGTGATGTATTATAGTTACTTAA